TGTTCAAAAGGTATTGAGTTTTCATATTTGACCATTTGATCTTTGGTAATTCATATAAAAGAAAAGGGAGAGAGGCAGAGAGGGAGGAGGAGAGGGAGAGAGGGAGGGGGAGAGGGAGGGAGAGAGGGAGGAGAGAGGGAGGGGGAGAGGGAGGAGAGAGGGAGGGGAGAGGGAGGAGAGAGGGAGGGGGAGAGGGAGGAAGAGAGGGAGGGGGAGAGGGAGGAAGAGAGGGAGGGGGAGAGGGAGGAAGAGAGGGAGGGGGAGAGGGAGGAAGAGAGGGAGGGGGAGAGGGAGGAAGAGAGGGAGGGGGAGAGGGAGGAAGAGAGGGAGGGGGAGAGGGAGGAAGAGAGGGAGGGGGAGAGGGAGGAAGAGAGGGAGGGGGAGAGGGAGGAAGAGAGGGAGGGGGAGAGGGAGGAAGAGAGGGAGGGGAGAGGGAGAGAGGGAGGGGGAGAGGGAGAGAGGGAAGGGGAGAGGGAGAGAGGGAAGGGGAGAGGGAGAGAGGGAGGGGGAGAGGGAGAGAGGGAAGGGGAGAGGGAGAGAGAAAGAGAGAGAGAGGGGGGGAGGGGGAGAGGCAGAGAGGGAGGGAGAGAGTAGGGGGGAGGGGGGGAGGCAGAGAGGGAGGGAGAGAGGCAGAGAGGAATATGCTCTTCAGGATCTTAAAGTTTAATCAAGTAAAAAATTTGAAACAAGACTACAATGCTTCTTGTGTCCATGGAGTGTGCTGACTTTTTAGAAGCTCTAGATGTTAATAAGAATTTCATAAAGTCTTTTAGAGAGAGAGAGAGAAAAAAAATATATATATATGTGTAGGAACAGCTGTGAAGATACACATCCAGGTAATTTTTAATCTTTAGTGTGCCAATGTAGTTTACTTTTTATAACAAAGGAATTTCAAAAAATGTTTGTTAGACTATGTAGGCATGTGTTTTTAGAAAGTTCTGTAATATCTAATTTTTATATTAGATTTCCAGTTCACTGTTAGGTTTATAACGTACTACCATTGCATGCTAGTATTTTTTAAAAATAAATTTTTTACTCATTGCTTGAAGTATAGAGAGAATATATATATACATTGATGTTGTTGTCGCATTGTTGTTTGCTTTAGAATGTAGGTTTCAGATTCTGGTAAACTGCATGCCTAACATTTCTCTTTGCTTTTCAGCTTTTTGGGCTCCATATATTATCCAGAAGCTCCAAGTGGTGTATCAAAACCAAAAATGGATTCAGATAAAGTATTATTCTTTTTGCAGTGTTTCAGATGTGTCTAGAAAATGTTCCATAGGGATTATTCAGCATTGCACAACATGAGAAAAAATCTTCATTTGATCATGCATGCGTTACTGATCTAAAGGAACATTTTCTATGCTTTTTGGTTTGAAGATGCACCAATGATTTGGGTTCTGTTTTATTTGGGCAAATATCTGGTTCTATTTTTACCTCTCTTTCCTTTTTTATCATAAGCTCAGCATTATATTACTTTGAGTACCCTTGTATCTGTTTGTTGAATTTATATTTTGGAATTTATGTAATATCAGAAGGTTTAGAAATGTTGTCAGTTATTGATGAAGAACTTTTAGATGTATCTGAAAACCATCACAAAAGGACAACAGATGGTGGAAATATTTTACACTCTGTGATGGTGTCTTGATATTGTGTAAGAGAAGGCCCGTGTTAAATTTTGTAGTTTGGTTTAAATTCTGTACAGTCTACCAGAACAATATCTTATGAATTTTATTGATGCCTTTATTTTTTGCATGTAGTTATTAGATGAAATGGATTGTGAAATGTGTAATTTAAACCTCATAATTATGACTGTTGCTAATAGAAGAAAAAAATACAGGGTTACAATGGAATGCTTGTATTTCTTTGGTTTATATTTCTTTGTTTACTTATTTATTTATTTATATACATGAACTGATCTGCACTCACATAGTTTATGCTTGTTTCTCCTTCTGGATATGGTCTGACTCATGTTTCCAAGATGTGTTTTTTGGGAAGTAAGGGAATCTTTTTTGTGTTTTGTTTTTTTGCATAGCACAATTATATCTGCTGCCAAAAAGACTAATACTTTGATAGCAATTCATATAATTGTAATATTAGACTCTTTGAAAATGATGATTAAAATAAGTTCATTGCCAAACAGATTAGAGAATGAAAGAAAGGCATTCTGTATACAAAAGTTCATTAAAGGATGAGACAGTAGTTCAAAATCCTCTTGGATTTCACCTTCATATTCATCTCCTGTACAGACAAGGGGTCTGTTCCTATCATTGTTAGTTATTCTCAGTTGTTCTATAGTATATTACTGGTACTATTACTTGGTCATCTGTTACTATCACCAATATCAATATGTTTGCAATAACAACAGTTATTTGAATTGAAAATGGGTATTATTATCATTCTTGTTAGGAGGCTGTCCCAGGTAATACATAAGTATATCTTGATCATTTGATGGCTATTAGGCCACACTCCATTCTGTATGGTCTTCTGTGGTTTAATGGCATCATAGGTGGCAGCCGAAAGATGGCTTAAGTCATAGGTGAGGTTATTTTATTGACAAAAGGTAATTGGTAATTATTTTTGTTCTGTTGCTGTTTTTATTAGTATTACAGCCATGATTTATTAATCTTTTACTATTACTATTACTCTTAAAACTTTGTAATAGTCTCTTACTATCACTATTACACTATGTCTTCCTCTGGATAAAATCCAGGAGCATTTTGGAACTGACATCTCATCTTCCAGTGAATTTCTATTTTGCCTCTTTGGAAGAAAAGTGAATATTTAGTCATTTGGTTATACAGGTTTTGGTGTGAGGGTCTTGAAATGCTAGTATATCATCATAATATATGTCACCATCAGTATGAAGCTTTGTGAATATGCTAATGTTTATAGAGATTGTTGAAAAAGGAATCAAGTTTTGAATAAAGATGAATAAAGTAAAATTGCATATTACAAACTTATGATTAAATTTGATGGGATTAAGCCCATTATACAATAACTTTTCTTCATGAAATGAAAAGATTAGTGACAACACAGCTTGCCATTAATGCACTTTCTAAATTAGAACCTGCAGCATAATATAGATAAGTTCTCTGTAGATATCTGTGCAGCAGCTTTTTAGGGTATAGTGGGATGTATAATAGAAGAGCCTGTAGGCCCTTCCAAATACATTGAAACATTTTAGAATTTAGTAAACATTGAACTAATATGTTTACAGCTCACTTTATATATTTCTTGAAGTAACTTTATGAAAGCTGATTTTTTTTGGCAATAGAACTAAATGCTGTGTAATTGCTGTGTAGTATACACTGTAACAATGAGAATTTACATGTAAAGTAAATAGAGTGGATTGTTTTCTTGACATTTCAACTGTTTTACCAAAAATAAGAAAGTTTAGAGAACATTTGACAACTAGTCCCTTGTAATGACTGAGGCATGATAAAAAAATATATTTGGCCACAGTTTTTAAGAAAATACTATTGCAATGTTTTTTTTTATGTTATATTGTTTTCTAACTTCAGCATAGTTTTAGAATATAAGAAAAAAATAGATATATGTTTTTGTCCTAGACTTTTTTGGTATTATCATGATATACAGTCCTTACTCAGAATAATGATCTTTTCTGAAACTGGAATTGTCATTATGAAGTTTGTTTTGGGGAAAGTGTTTGCTCTTGCTTTCTGAATCATTGTTTAATAACTTATTTTAAAGAATAAGCTTCCACTTTTACAGTTCACATGAAGTTGCCTTAGGCCTACCTGCAATGCCCTAGACAATGCCTAGAGCCATAATTCTGACAAATGGAAAATTGACAGTGTTCTTGGTTGCAGGAGCTTGGTTTGTGGGTGGCTGCCTCATTCATGGGGATGAATCGAAGGCAGCGTATTGTCATGGCCATAATTGTGAGCGGTTCCCTTGTCTACATCATCCTCACGCAGGTCTGGAGAACACTTTAGCCTCTTCAGCTTTATATTTGGTGTAGAATAAGGCTTGATTTAGGCTGATAAATTGAAGTTGATTATTGTTGTGATAATGGTTTGTATTAAATTACTATCTTCATTTACCCATTCGCGCCGGGTAAAAATGAACAAAAAATGGGGGAAATGCTGTGTTCATTTTTTATATTTTTTTAATGAAATTTCTCTACACTAGATGGCTCTGCTTTACCGGATTTCATTTGGCGGGAAAATGTATTTTTACTATTGCTATGAATATCGATGGTTATTTTTATTATAAACATTATAATTACTCTAATGTTATAAACATTAGTAACAGGAAAATAAAATAACGCAAAATAATTTTGTAAATTAAAGAAAAGGGTAAACAGACGAGACAGGCAGTAAAAGTGCAAGTGGAGCCATCTATGTTTGTAAACAAACAAACAAGTAAACTCAAAGTGGGCCCGTCACGTATACGTGACGCCCGGCGCGAATGGGTTAAGTTGATCATTGTGATGGTGATCATTATCATTACTATATTTTGGTTATTATTTCTTAATTTTAATTGAAATGAATGGGCTTCAAAGCTTTAAAGTTTTTTATTCTAAGACTTCATAACAGATTTCCCTCACTTGTGTATGGGAAGAATCAACTCGTAAACACTTTTTCATTTGGCATTGAGGGAACAAGTTTTATTTAATATTTGGTTTAGTGTTACTCGTTGATTTTTAATAAGCATGCAGATAAAACTGTGATTTCTTCCTATAATTATTGAGATATAAATAGATTGAATTCTCAGGTTGAGTGTTTGTATATCAGGTTCCATGCATGCTTCATCTGAAAATGAAGAGAATCCGGTAGGTACATATCTTTATAAGAAAAGCTTGAAATTAGGTATATTTTAAGTATACACTTATTATGGAAGGCTGTCAGAACTCAGTGCATTTTCCTTGGCCTTTGCAGGCCTTGCTGGTGTTTGGTAGTGCCCCAGGGGAACCCACACAACCAGAGGTCAGGAAGCTTTGTTCAGTTGACCTGAAGAGAGAAGACAGTACCAAG